CCGCCGTTTGGAGTGCCGCCGTCACGTTTGGAGCTGCCGCTTCCGTGTTTGGAGTGGCGGTGGTGCTTCAAACAGCGGTAGTGCTCCAAACGCGGAAGCGGCAGCTTCAAACGGCGGCGGCGGCTCCAAACGGCAGAGGCAGCTCCAAACGGCAGAGGCAGCTCCAAACGGCGGCAGCAGCTCCAACGGCACTCCAAACGGCAGCAGAATGGGCAGAAGGGAAAGCAACAGAGGCAGGTGCCAAAGGTCTTGGGTCTGCAGCAAAGGTGTTTGGTGGGAGTAGGGAGCTCTCTGCGCTTCGCCATGATCGCCCCTTAGGAGCGGCTGGTGGCGAGGCTGCCCGCGGGGCGCTCTAGATGAGGATGAAAGGGGGGAAATTAAGTTACCCCCCGAAAAGACGGCCTAGCCGTTTTTTCGGGGCTCAAAAAAAAATAAGGCCCGGCCTTATTATGTGAGAAACACGGTATCTGTCATTTGTCAGGTGATTCATAGCTCCTGAATCAACACACCATGCTTGCAAAGATGAAGTGCAACTTTTGGATTGAAAAACATGTACATTATCTGAAGAAAAATCCATTTCTTCCTTCACCCTTTTGGGCATTTGTAATTTTTGCATTCTAGCTTTCCAGATTCTGCAATCTGCTTTTAAATGACCACCCCTTTTTTTGGAATACAAAGCATTCACGTTTCTTGCTTCATGTAACTTTTTATTCCTATTTTTCATTTCTATTCTATTCTATTCTATTTTATTCTAATTGCATTCACACATGGCACAGACACCTTGGATACAGAAGTCCTGACATAATAAAGACGTTAACTGAGAAAGACTATCCAAGTAGAATAAAAAAAAAAAGGCTGGCACTGGGCCACAAGAAGTTTCAATCAGGAGATACACCCGAAGAAATAAAGGCATCCCAAACATCTATCCTATGTTGCTCGCAAAGCATTAAAACCCAGAGATGGGAAGGAGCATGTGAAAGTGACTGCAGTGACCAACGTCCCAGCAGCTCTGTTACCAGTTCTTTGGAGAGCCAAGGCCTAAGCAGTAGCAGCAGCTTTGTGAACAACCAGGACAAACAAAAGAGGAAGGAAAAGGGCAAGAAGAATTATAAGAAATAAGAAACAGAACTAAGAGCTGAAATAGAACTATTATAAGGAGTAGTTGTTGAGTGGGGGTGTTGGAACACATTACAATGTATTTTGTATTGCAATAATTACAGAATTATTCAGACAGTAGATGGCAGTGTTTAGTTTGCACGCATGGTTATAATCTATGATTTCTTAATGTTCTGAGAAGTTTCCTATGACAGTTGAAACCGTCAAGCAGCAAGGCCCATGGTGATTGTATATTGTACTTCTATCTTATGGCTATGTAACCAACCTCTGCTGCAATCTGTATGACTATATAACAATCCTCTGCTACTATTTCTATAATAAAACAGAATTTTCTAACAAACTTAAAAGAGTAGCATCAATTTTTAAAGTGCTACAGAGTTTGGTGTAGACTACGTAAAGAAAGTGTTCCTTCCAAGTACAGATATTTGTACAGATATTTAGGTAATTTTGGGAGCCCTTCTCTGACTGTTTCTGCTAAATTTCAAAAACACCTTGAAGGCACTATTTAATGAATAAGAAATTATGTTCATGTAAAATTAACTGATACGCCAATATAAAAATAATCATTCTGACTTCCGGTTTGCCAGGGTTCGGCGGCGGCAGGGATTCGCGATCCAGCGCGATCCCTGTCGCGCTAGCTGTCTTGGTGCCTCCGATCCCGATGGGTCTGGAGGATAAGGCTGCCACGTAGAGGCAGCTGAAGACAGGGGGGATACGGATAGGGGTTTGGGGGTGTCGCAGACCCCCTCCCCACCTGGCAAAACCCCCTTCTCTCAAGGCGGTGGAGCAGCGGTCAGTAATGCCAGCCACAAAGAAGCCGGCAACTGGATAAGAATGTGCAGGAGGAAGAAGGAAAAAGTTTGGAAAGTTTTAAAGTGAAAGTTTTTTTGGCTACCGGGACTTTAAGATATATCTAATATCCTGAAAACTACGGTTTTTTTGAATGATACATTGTTTCCAGAGGAGATTCTAAAAGCGGCGAATAGTGCTGAAAGGGAAAGTTTACTTTCCTTCCCTACGGACTTAACAAAGGGACGTTGAAAAATCTGCTTTTCTAAAGAAGGTAAAATTTAAAGCTCTTTGTTATAAGTGGGAAGGGAGATGACTAAAACCTGTATAAAGATCTTGTTGGAGGAGATGCCTTGGAGATTTTGAGACTAGAAGCTAATTGCAATAAGGCTTTAAAGTACAGACTGGGCTCTTTTTTTCTTTCTTAACTGATATTACCCCAGGAAGAGAAAGTGTAAAGGGAAGAACTTTCTGCTCTGTTTGGATGCTTGATGACTTTGGGACTTTGGGGAACTGTTTTTTAAGTTTTGAAACATCTTGGTTGTTCTAAGAAGAAGAAGAGGGGAAAAAAAGAAGAAGAAAGGTTTACAATGGCTCTATCTATTGATGAACTAAGAAAGGAATATGGAAAAAGAAAGAAAGAAAGAAAGAAAGAAAGAAAGAAAGAAAGAAAGAAAGGACTCTTTGAGAGATATCTTTCACTTTTTAGAAATGGTGCTTGCTACTTATCAGCAAATACAACAACAAATGGAGGAAACAGAAGAAGAAGAAGAAAAAGAAGAAGCCATCTTTAATGAATTAAAAAATCTGACTAAGAAAGAGAAGAGAAAGAGAGGAAGGAAAATAAAGGACTTAAGACCTAAAAAAACACCCAAGAAAGAGAAAAATGAGATGCAAAACCAATACAATGCTAGAAAGCAAAAGAAAAGAGAAATACAACAGAGAGGGCAAGCCAAAAAGGCAAAGGTTAGGAGGGTGGGGGGTGAAAAGACTAGGTGGGATAAGAAAGGAAGGAAAAAGGGGGGGGGAAAGCCATAAAGGTATAAAACAAGATGGGAAAAATAAATTTTTTTTTTAGGGACAAAGGGTAATGTACAATTTATTTAAAAAAAGGATCTGCAAAAGTACATAAGATAGTATGGTAGTATTTGTATTAGAAGTAGAAAACTAGAATTTTATAAGAACTAATAAAATATTAAAATATCAAAATGCTTAATAATGATAGACTTTATGATTTAATAAAATATTAAAGGGAATGTTTAAAATATAGAGTTTATTGGCTATTGTGTTAATGTTATTACAAATGTATTATTGTAGCATTTGTTTTTGAAGTAGACAATTGGAATATTACAAGATTTAATAAATCAAAATATTATAATGTTTAAGATTTAATGATAGATCTTAACATTTAATATTATTGAGAAGGTGTAAAATGCTTAAGATTTAATGATAGAGCTTAATTTGTTATTCCCTTAATGTTATCACAACTTTTTTTTATTCTCTCTTTTTTTTTTTTTTTTTTCAGTTTAAAATGTACTATTTAAAATGTATTTAAAAAGTAGAATGGTAATTATGTACTTAATTATTTTATAGATTTATTATTCTCTCTTTTTTTTTCTTTTCTTAAAATTTAATAGGTAGATTGTACTAAGCAGAATCAGATTGGGAACTAGGTATTATCTCAAATGCTAACCTAAGGGATAGAAAGGCATCATACTTTGATCAGTGATTCCAGGAGAATGAGATAAATGGACAATTGGAAAAGAATGGACAAAAGATACAAGGATAATGATTTAAAGTAAGACGAAATAAATAAAATAGAATTAAGAAAAGTGAAAAGCGGGGAGAAGTTACATAGAAGATATAGAATGGTTAATAAGATAAGTAATGGTATATAAGATGAGCATGAATTTAATTGAAGTCCATACAAAGAGAGGTATTCTGGGGCCAAGCCACTTTCTAAAAAGAAGTTTTATGTTTTTTGTGTTTTGTGTGTTTATGTTTGATTAAGAATTAATAAAACCTTGGAGGAATGTTAGACGAGAATATTTGTAAACAAGTCAGATGAAAATATTAATATGACGGTTATAAAATAGACGAATATAGAAAAGAAATGTAATTGAATAAAAGTAAAGAGAAATAATGAGTAAAGAGACTAAAGAGAAATAATCTTTGCTAAAAGATATTTATGTGTTTATAAGGAAATGGGATAAATTAGAATTATTTATCTGTATAAAATATGCTGTATAAAATAATCTTTTATCTGCCTTGTAAAAATTTACAATGGAAAGAGGTTTTATGTTTGTAATGTTTAATGATGTTTTGTTTGTCTTTAAAACTAATAAAATTTGTATCAATAAAAAAAAATCATTCAGCAAATAGTACATAAATAAGGATGACAGGTCTCCTTTGATCATTGTAAATAATAGCCACTGAATTTAAATAAATACAAGAAATGTGACTTACCGGTACGATGTAATTTCTTGGTTCTCCAGGAGGCCATTGTGGTGGAATCTTTAAAAAAACAGTAAGTGAAGAAACTATTAACAGACTTTTAGCAGAACATAGCATTTAACTTGCTTGATAAAATAATAGGAATACAATCATATATATTTGATTAGCAATTGCACTTAAGTTTATATACCGTTTCACAGTGTTTTACAGCCCTCTCTAAACGGTTTATAGTCAGCATATTGCCCCCAACAATCTAGGTCCTCTCCTCATTTTACTGACCTCAGAAAGATGGAAGGCCGAATCAACTTTAAGCAGATGAAATCAAATTGCCAAGTTGCTGGCAGCCAGCAATCAGCTGAAGCAGCCTGCAGTACTGCATTCTAACCACTATACCTCCATAGTGACAATGTCTATGGAGATTCTCAATCATCCAGGTCATGGTTATCCCAAAGTGCTTTTTCCAAAAGGTAACTAGGATTTTCTTTTCTTTTTTGTTTGTTTGTTTGAAAATGTTTTACTGAAGAACTGAAGAAGCTTCTTGGATGAAAAGTGAAAAATTATAAAAAATCAAGAAAATCCAGTTTTTTGAAGAAAAAAAAACTCATCTGTGGCATCTTTGAGTACTAATTTTTAGAAATATAAATATTCCAAATTTAAAGCTAGTAACCTAAACTAAACAACCAAGTTTACACTACTCAAAACACAGGAATAGTAACATGGATGATCAAGTTTTGCATACTTGGATGCTAAAATATGTTTGGCTGTCAGGCTTATTTCCTACTCTGAATTATCCCAATTCTGACCAACTTGTATATTTTTCTTTGTAAATAAGGTTAAATACATAAGAAAAAAAGAACCTACAATATAATCCAATATAATCATTTACTGGATCATTCCTTAACAAATTTGACTCCATTGCAAGAGATAAAAGCCTAATAATATATCGCCCTCCCTCCAGTCCAAATATTTATAGCTTTCCTAAAACCCAGCAGCATTGGAGCTGGACACATATCAGATGAAATTCTCAGATCTCAGGTCAAATGATCCAGACAAAGGGAACAGCAATTGAAAGTTTACTTATTTATTGCATCTTTTGAGAGAAGAACTTTTCCTGGTCTTATATGCAATCAGGAATAGACAATCCTAAAGTACCAATGTCTAAGTTTCTTTAATATCACGTAAGTACTTTTAGGTAGTTTAAAAGTCTCCACAATTGGTGACAGGTGCAATGTTTAAGTACCCTTATTATTTTTTCTCCTTGAAATCTGGATTACTACAAAAAATCTCACAGCTGAGAGTAAACACAATTGATATTTATCAAGACCTACTACTATCCAGCATATAAATGATCTTCTTGCTTAGTTATTCCTACATTTCAAAATATCAAGAGGCATGATCTGAAAGCCGTATTAAAACATCTTAACAGAGCCTCCGTGGTGCAGTGATTAGAGTGCAGTACTGCAAGCTACTTCTGCTGCAGCCAGCTGCCTGCAATTTGGCCGATCGAATCTCACCAGGCTCAAGGTTGACTCAGCCTTCCATCCTTCCGAGGTGGATAAAATGAAGACCCAAATTGTTGGGGGCAAGATATTGACTTTGTAAACCGCTTAGAGAGGGCTGTAAAGCACTATAAAGCAGTATATAAGTCGTGCTATTGCTATCTTTACTTAAGATAAAACTTAAGTTTTAATTCATGGCTACTAAAATTGAAATATACTCAAACCTACCTGGTAATTATAAGTTGGCTGGTATCCTACAGGGACTTGTTGCTGAATTAATAAAGCTGGAGAACCATAAGGATAGGCCTGTAAGTTCAAAAACAAAATTAGTTTTGGATAGTTTTCTACATGAATAAGTCTGGAAATCTCTTTTGAAAATGTTTCTGTACTTATAAGACAGAAGTCATGGCAAGCTACATTCTACCATCTTATCGGTACAACGTGGTTCATAATTCTAAACAAATTATGCTTTGTGCATCAACCAGTTGATGTAATCTGAATCTCTTTTTCTTTTATGTTTTTGATCATTTTGTTCTTTAGTTAGCAATTCTTGGTTGCTATTTTCAAATGTAATAATTAGTTTAAATTCCAAGAAGCCAGTGATTGGCAGCAAATAAATTTAACAAATAGTAATACACCATATAGCTTGCTATCTTTTCTTCCCATGTTCACAAAAACTGGACATAAGCCTTCACTCATGTCTGAAAACTGTACAGTACAACAAAGTTTTGTCTAAATAAATTGGCAGTAGATTTAAAATAAGCAAGACCTATAGAAACTGTAGCTACAATTCTGAAAAAATGTGTTGTTGACAAAATTTTCTAATAAAAAATTGAGGGTATTTTAGGAAACCAATATAGCTTGCATCTGCAGAAAGATAAAAAGACAAAAAGAATTATGATTTGCAAGAGATTCTAAAAACACAAAATGGCCTTTGTTCTGTATTATTGTAAAAGAAAAGGTAGAAGCTGCTACTGCAAGCAAAATTATTTTATAGCAACAGGTGACAGCAAGAGGGGAAAGTGCAACACCTGATGTTTCTTTCCTGCTCCCCAAAGTAGAAATGGGTTTGATTGGGCATAAGCAAAAGGAGGGGATTAAACTTCAATTAAATAGATGCTGACAGACTGGGTCAAAATGTGCTGTGCAATTGGTGGCTTCCCATTACTCACATCAGCTCCTGCCAACCTAGCAGTTTGCAATCATGCAAATGTGAGTAGATAAACAGATAACCATTTTGGCAGGAAAATTACTATGTTCCATATTTTCATGCTAGCCACATGAAAATATCTATCAGACAACACAGGAGATGAGCACTGCTAGCTTGAGTAGGTCATGACTGGACAAGGAAAAACTTTAAACCCTTTAATTATGAATGAATGTAAATTTATTAGAGTGAATGTAAGTTCAATTACACCTGAGAGTTCTGAAGAAGCTTCTTCTTTGAGACCCTTTCCAGAATATTAAGAGAATTTTTTTAGGATGGTTATAGCACAAAAACACTGGACAAAAGCAAATGTTCAAAAAAAGAGGCCCAATATAAGCACTAACTGATCAGTTTCAGGTAGCAAGGAAAACTTAAGGACCCATTATAAACTCAGTCTGTAATCTTTTAAAAAATAATTCATTACTTTGGAGAACTTGACATGGATTTATCAAGAATATATCATGCCAAATCAATCTGATCTTATTTAATAGGATATCAATTCAGCTGATTATGGATGTGGAAGATAAACATGGATGTGGAAGTACAATGTACCTTAACTTTAGCAAAGCACTCAAAACCTAGGAGATTCTACTAGAAAAGATGGAAAAATATAAACTATAACTGCAATAACAATTTGATACAGAACTGGCTGAAAAACTATTCCCCCCCAAAATAAGTGAATGGCTCTGGAAGACATACCATAGCTCTCCTGTGTCATTCAATATAAACATCTTGGAAGATGGACTTAAAATATATCAACTGTTTATATAACACAAATATAAATAATGAACATCTTAAAAGACAGTATCAATATTAAAAGATATTTACAAACTGGAACAATGACAAAATCATCAAGATGTATTGCAACAAAATGCAAAGTCTTAAAGGAAAATAAAAGATGAAATTTAGGAAGGGATGAGGAATAATCACACAACAGAACATACATACACAAAGTATTTATTTATTTATTTATTTATTTTTAAAGTAAGGGCATTTGTGAATTACAAGCTTAATATGAGCCAACAGTATAATGCAGCTCGCCCCCAAAAGGAAATATATACTATGATGCATCTACCAAAGTCATTAAGTCAAAAGGGAAATAAATCATTGTATCTCCCTATTCTGCTTTGGTCAGATTGCACCAAGATTGTTGCATCCAGTTTTGATCATTAATTTTAAGGATATTGCCAAAATGCAGTGTTTCATAGAAAAGCTATAAGGGACTAGAAAGAAAAAGTTATGAGAAATGTTGCCGATGCTATATTTAGCTTACAAATGCAACAACCATGGGAAGGTAAGACAAGCATTTTTATTCAGAATTGTTCAGAAGACAGGACAGGAAAGAATGGCCTTAAATTATATAGATTAGATGATGTCCACAGCCCCTTGCAATCTTTGTATGATTAATGTTATTATTTCTTAAATCCTAATACCATATAATATTGCGAATACAAAAATTAGCAATTAACAGTACAAAATAGAAATAGTGATGGTGAATAATATTCCAAAAACCCAATGGAAAAGTTCAGTTTACTGGTTTACAGAGGCCTTCATTGATGGAGCCAATAAGTTTCCATATTGTTCCAGAATGTAGATGGTGTGACAAAAAAAAGAGTACTTACTGGCCTTAGTCACCCTCACCCCCAGGAGGATCTTTATGGATAAATCAATTCCAGTAGAAGTAAATAACTTGAAGCTTTGATGTCAAGCCATTTACAACTGTTTTAAGTCAAAACTATTATAATAAAACATCATTATAAAGTAATTCTTTATAAAACCAGTGGTGTCTACCTTATTACATGCTTGTTTTTTTAAAAAAGAATTATTCAGGTTCTTTTATTTGTTTTTATTTATTATAGGTTTTTCAATCCATCTTTGTTTCACTGGTTATCTTTTGTATTATGTATTTTCTTTTTTGTAATTTTGTTATAAAATACTGTAGAATAAAATAAAAAAGTCAAAAATAGCATTTTTAATTGTACCAGTAAATCTATGGCTAATCAACCAAAAGTCTGAAAAATAGGTTTAATATTTTAAGAAATAGCAAGTTAGAAAATGGATCACTGCACTTTGCCTCTCCTGTAGTCTTCAAGCGACCTTCAGAAATAGCCCCATGCTGAGTAAATTGCAAAAGTCTAACTGCATGGTGGTAAAGGTATGAATCACTATAGCCAGAGCTTTCCATTCCAGAAAGGGCCACAATTGCCACACCAGTCACAACTGAGCAAAAGCTCTCTTGGCCACAGCTTCCATCCATCCAAGCAGTAATTATGAATCCAACATCCCCACATTCCAGAATGCTCAATTAATAGTACTACCCCTTTAGAAGATAACATGGGAAATGACAGATGAATAAACATTAATTCCATTGTATTCAACTAAACTTTAACTTATGTAACTTTAACTATGACAGATTCGAGGAACAAATGGAAAGAGGGGGAAGGACTTTGCCAATATCCCAAAAATATTTCAGAGTAGGAACAGAAAATGGGCATACTATATTCTTATGAAATGTTTTTAGATATTAATAAGGAGCTTGCATCTTGAAAGTATGCCCATTAAGCAATATAATTCACTGGAATATTTTTAATCCAGTTGTACAATTTTACTTTTTCTGAAATGTAATTAAATGAATTAAATTTCTTTCTAAAAACCTTACCTGAACATATTGTGTTACAGGACTCATCACAGCTGGAGACTGCATATATGTTTCCTGGTTACTCCAAACACTATGGAACTGAGGTGTAGGGGAATTAATAAGCATTGGCCTGGGTGGCACATGATAGGCACCTTTGGAATAAGAAAAAATAGTTATATCCTCAAAATTTATTCTATCTAAAAAAACATCCCAATATTCAAATATATTTCATTCTTCCACCTAAATAAGTAGTTATCAGTATAGAGCTGAATTACACCACTAACAAGACTTAGAGTACAATGACAGTGGTTTTCATATATCCATCCTGCAAAAAAAAGTGAGTACCGTATTTATCGGCGTATAACACGCACTTTTTTCCCCCTGAAAATAGGGGGCAAATGATGTATGCGTGTTATACGCCGATATAATGTTAAGAAGCCTTCGGTGAATGCTGCTGGGATCGGGGATCAAGGACACAAATGAAAGAAGGGGAGGGAGGAAGCAACCGAAGCCTGTCCTTCTCTCTGGGTCAGCTCTCTCAGTCGCTCTCTCGCTCCTCCACCAGCACAGGAAGAAACTGCTTCAAAGAAGCGCGGGGGGGGGCTTTTCCTGTCGCCGCAGCTTCCCTGAAGCGCCCGTTTCTCCCCCACCCCCACCCCGCCCGCCCGCCCGCCCGCAGTGCTCCGTTCTGCCTGCCTGCCTGCCTTCGTTAATGGTTGAATCGGAACAGCTTCGGCTGAGTAAAAGAGGCGAATAGTTATTATTCTCAGCCGAAGCTGCTCCCAAACAACCAGAAACTAAGGCAGGCAGGCAGGCAGGCAGAATGGGACACTGTGGATTGAAGCGCGCGCGGGGGGGTGGGAGTGGGGGTGAAACGGGCGCTTTCCTGAAATTTCCCTCTTAAAATGAAGATGCGTGTTATACGCCTGTGCGTGTTATACGCCGATAAATACGGTAACTGATGGTAGAATAGTAATAAATATCAATGTTGCAAATGTTTTTGCCATCCTTCTATTTATCTAGAAACAAAATTATTTGCTATATCAAGAGGCTTTTCTTTATACAGCCTGTCAAATTCAATAATACTCACATAAGTTTGGGTGTTTTCTTATTGCAGGTCCCAATTTGAGCTTCTTCCCATGAAAGTTTATTTGTGACTATAAAAGAACAATTTAAAATTTTTGAATCATCCATTTCTCTCAACAGACTAAATATTATCAATAATTTCAATTAATATAACTACTTAGTCTGTAACAATCATAGATGACTGGAATTCCATACTGGCAAATGTGAAGACCACCAGAGAATTCTCAGGTTAATAATATGAATTATGTCTGGCCGTATTAGACTTCTGAGACAACTAAGACCAAGAATGAGAAGGCAAGAAGAGCTGCAATACTTCACCTGTTACCAGCAAATAAAAATTAATGGTACTGAACAAATCAATATAAAGAAGAGGAAAGAAATATTTTCTATCTAGCTTATTATTCCATTAACAAATGAGTCAAAAATGACTGGATGACACATAATCAATCAATCATACTGGAAATCCCTTAAATAAAAAGGCAATCATTTCATAACATATCAGTGACCAGAAGAGCTAGCAGTAGATCATAAAAACTACCTGAAGCAGCCTACTCTCCTGATCTTTCAGAAATACTTGGAGACCTGACTCTCCAATTCACTGGAGCCTCTGCATTTTTTAATTCTGAAAATTTTAATTTACTTTATTCTTGTGTTTAACTGTTTTTAATACATTTATATATAGCTTTTACGTTTATATATGTATTTGTTCACTGTCTATAATTGTTCTAAGTGGGAAATGGACGATCTCTAAATTCAACATACAATAATAAAAATCCAAGTTAGTGACAATTCCACATCATGTTTTACCATAAGAGGCATCTGATTAGAATGGGGTCATTGTGATAGATCGCAAGTCCATCCTTGTACTGATAGTATGCCTGACACATGCACAAGTATCGACATGTATGATTGTACCTGCCCAGCTGTCTCTCTGCTCAAACCTTTTTCAGTCTATGTTTAGGAATTTAAATAATTATTTTAAACTTCCCATTAGGAACCATCCTGCCTTTTATGATTATCTCTACATATTTTATATACAGCAATGTATGCAGCGCATCTGGTTTTCATTAGGCTGTATTACATATATTAAGAGCATCATGGACTAATTGAATAGAACTAATTGAACAGAAAAGAAAATATCTACGACTCAGCTTCTGCAGAAATGTAAAATCTATTATGTTGCCCAGTCTTCAGATGAAAGGACTGCTAAATGCCCCATGGAACTACAGAATCAAATTCTATTCATGTTTCAATTAACTATAAACAGAGAGAAAACTTGGATTACAGATGAAATTTCTCTTCAATATCCCGTAATCTGAATACGAGGAATGAAAGTAATAAAGCCTTTTGAGTAGGGGATTGAAACACAAGACTGTATTTTAAAGAATTTTAAATAAGCTAGCCTCGAAGATAGTCTGGCAGACATCTCAAACCCAATTAATCTTTACTTGCATTTTTTTGGATGAAAGTAATTCAAATTTTGCAACTTGGATTGCATAAAGAAGGCGAAAAAACTTATCCAGGTTTCTTGATCATTTCATTTGTTCACCTTGAAAAGCTGATCAAAATAGTGAGTCCAATCATTTCTTAGGTCCAAATACTATTAACTGAATGTCACACTTCAGAAGTTATTGGGAAGGTAGCATTTTATTTTATTTTATTTTATTAATTTAACTTCCATCAGCAAAATGCACAAATTACAATATTTTCCTCATCAGCTTTTTTGAATTCTACTGTATAGTGCAGTGTTGGAGGTTTCGGTTCAATGTGTGGAGTGTGAAGGATGTGTGTTTGTGTTTATTTTCATGATCATGATGTGCACTGAAGATGGTGTTTGATTTCATTGTACGAGGTGCAATGACAATAAAGTAAATTAAACTAAACTAAATTATTCCACAAAGAACCCAAATTAACAACTTACTTCAACTATTTTCTGTACATCTACGTTGTCCAAAAATGATACAAATCCGTATCTACAAAGATAAATCAAAAGCATATCAACATTCCAATTGAATATCCCACTATGTAATTCAATGTTCTGCATTAAAAGGTTGTATCCAGAAAAGTTAAAAAAGTCAAATATTAGAGATTAAAGGTATCAAATTAATGAGAATGTTTATATTCCTCCATCTTCAAGAAAAATCTTATCCACTTCTCCAAACTAGACCAATGGCTATTCTTAATACGAGATGGAAAGTAAAACTTCTAACTTGACCTGTGGCTCTGTTTCTGGTGATATTATCTATTATTTTATTTTTTAAAAAATTGATATCCTATCGTTTGATTCTACAAAGATTAAAATAATGCACAATAAAGTAACATTACAATTAAAAATAACAAATGAATGATTAATTAAAACTAAGAGCAACATTGAAGAATTTAAGTTTATGCCTGAAACTTGCAGTTCAGTTTACAAACTTTTAAATCTTTTCATTAATACTCTTCATTTCCAGTTGATTTTTGAATACTAGTAGTGTTTGATCTAAGTACAGTAGCTACTTCACATTTATTTATTATAAATGCCACCCAAACCAACCAACTTACCCTTTAGAGACACCAGTTCTGTCAGTAATTATTTTCACTTCTTTAACTGTGCCATATCGTGTAAAAAAGGTCCGAATTTCTGTCTCATCCATCTAGGAATAAATTATATAATGGCATACTAAACATTATATGAAGGTACCCTGTTTCTCCAACAATACGACCTCCCCCAATAGGAAGTCCCAGCATGTTTTATAGGCATGAAATGAAATTAAGCCGCTCCCCACAAATTAAGGCCTATATTAAAACATGCGAAATGGGGGGGAATGGTGGGGGGGCTTGCGGTTAGGAAGTACTTTTGTTACACACCCGGATATGGTGCTGCCTGCGTTGACCCTGATACGAAGTGCCCCACCAACGCCAAGGTCAACATCCAAGCCGTCGCTGCCCGCCCACGCAAAGATGCAAGGGGGGACTTAAGTCACCCCCGAAAAGACAGCCTAGCCATTTTTTCGGGGCTCAAAAAAAAAATAAGACCCGGCCTTATTATATGAGAAACACGGTAATAGTACAGAAAGGACCTGTAATAAAATACTGTTAACTTTTTTTAAAAATCCAAATAACTATCAAATTATTTATTAAACAACAGTATTGTCATACACATTTATTTTATTTTTTATTTTTGCCAAGCAATTATAAGATAACAGGTATAAGTATAAACATAATTATGGATACATGAAATGAATACATATAAGAAAAATAAAAGAAATAAAAAGAAAAAAGAAACAATAGGACAGGGACGGTAGGCACGTTGGTGCGCTTATGCACGCCCCTAGAGACCTCTTAGGAAAGGGGTGAGGTCAGTAGTAGACAGTCTAAGGTTAAAGTTTTTGTGGTTTGGGGAAGAAACCAGTCAGGTAGAGTATTCCAGACATTTACCACTCTGTTACTGAACTCATATTTCCTGCAATCAAGTTTGGTGCGGTTAAGTATAAGATCATTTTAAAAGAGAACATATGAAACTTCTACTGAAAATTTTGGATCCAATAATACTTTTTTACAATTCTTAGAAGATATCACCAACGACTTTATTTTCACTTGGGATTGCAATCTTAACTGTGCAGAATTCAACTTCTCAAAAGTTTTGGTGAAAACACAAGACACAGTCTAATAACTGAAATCCTATTTTGAAATAAATACTTACCCTTATATCTATTCCACCCACAAAAATGGTATTTGGCATGATTTTCCCTTCAGGCAGAACATATCCTTGGCTGGTAGCAGGTAACTGAGAGCTTTCTTCCTGTGGAATATTTGTGTTTTGAGAGTCCTGATTTGAAGTAGACTACAAAACAAATTTTGTTTTTTTTAAAAATCCTCCTTCTTAAACACTATTACACTTATATCTAGAAAATATTCCTTCCTCATGTATATAAAATGTGACACAAATAATGATAGAATATAAGGTAACCAAGCATATATTCTACTGGTCCAAAGTAGAGGATCCTTGTTTTACATTTCTCTAAAATTATTGAAGTATTTTCGGTTGCAACAATTCAGCAACTTCCAAGGATACCTTGAATGGATAGCAGGAATTTGGTCATCTTAACCAAGATCACTGGTTTAAAGTTTACTATAGCAATCCTTTATATGAATGATTTTAAAGTATTTGCAAATAGGAACCCAGCAAACTTTTATGGATAACCTACCAATCAGCTGATCAGAAGCACCCTCTTAAAGAATGCAGTGTTAAACTATAATACTTGGGCTATGTTGAATGAAGCTTATATGAATTGCAGTTCAAAATAAGTTAATCCAATTTATTTGAATTGGCTTCTGATATAAATTCAGATCACGTTAAAGTAAACACAAAACTTTTAAAAAATCTTAACTTATTAAATATAATTGTCTTGATACATGTTTAAGATGTACCAAGCTCAAGAAAAAAAAACTCAATGGAGAAGCTGAACTCTTAAATTGTTAATTCTTTTTGGGGTTGAACCTTTGCCAGTCTGCAGTTAACACAGTAAAAACAAAAGGCAGCCGTTATTTTTCCATTCCAAACTTGCGACACTATTGGCGGATTCAACGTCCGAGATCAACCTATTCTGAAGACGAGTGTAGGCAGAATTGAAGTCTGATACCTTAATATTGGCTACCATCCGATTTACGCTTATCTTGGAGAAAATCGCACTTAAACCAAAAGGGTCTAGTCATGTCTCTTAAACTACTTATTTATAGATAGGGTTTCAGTTAACCCAGTAAGAATTTCACAGCCATAAAATCTATTAACGATAATTAAGAATGCGCTCTCCCTCCATAAAATACACCTAGGCAGGGGGCGTCAAGAGGCTTTTTACAACTGTGGTTTTAGCGCGATCGGCCGCACAAAGTGACTCGTGGCGAACATAAATCGATCGTTGACTCCCACGCGGCTACAAAATGGTGATCGTGCCTCCGCCTCAGAAGCATCTTTGCCTGGTTTTCGTTTGGCCTTCCTGTGCCGCTCGACGTAGCCTACCATCTCCACACATCCTTTGCACGCTTCCACTTCGAAGGACGGCGAGAGTAGCCACTTCCCGCCTTTTTTTTTTTTTTTTTTGCCCCCTTCTTCACAACGCCCGGGCTTGACCTAGGTGTTCAGTCCTGTCCATTTGAGCAACCTGCATCAAAATCTCCATGGGCAAGTGGCTTTTTAAGTTTGGTTTTACAAAACCCTTCCTTTCGCTTTAGGCAGACCGTATGCCAAACTTCGATCCTTTGCTCTATTTCCACCCCGGACCTTTAAACCATTTTTAAAAAGGTCAACAAGAGTTGTATCACGGAAAACTCAATCCTTGTTTTAATGGAATACGACGGCCTCCTTGAACTTACCATCTTACCGCACGTCAGAGAAAAGCCTTTCCCAATAACAACCGTTTTAAAGTAGGAACCCCACAAAACTCCCACCCTTCCCCTCGAAAACACGACCTGCGCGCCTCCTAAGCAGAAGCTTATCAGAAAGTTGCGTAGACCCCGCCCCGAGGTGAGCGGCCGAGGCTTTGCCACACCCAGAGCTTCGGGAGTGGATCAGAGCTGCCTTTTAAACGAAGGCGGGGGGGGGAGGGGGAATTCTTTGGACCATGGGCTTTTCTCATACTCGCATTCGTTTTTAATCCCGTGAAGGTGTTTGGTTATTTTATTAAGCCATTAATGGTAGCCTTCATAGCGCTATTAACATCATGGTTTGCTTAATAATTTTACGTGGTTGGTTTACCTCCCCTCCATTCCCCACTCCCACTTCTGCTGAGGTACATCTTGGTTCATGTTTATTCATTTTTATCCCGCCTTTCTAAATAACTCAAGCCTGATACTCTTTCTTCGTCCTATTTTCCCCATCACAACAACAACCCTACGGGATGAATTGGGTTGTTGAGAGAGTGACTGACCTAAAAAGTTGGTGCCTAAGGCTGGAGTAGAACTCCGCAGTCTTCTAGTCTGGTGCTTAGAACTCAAATTGGCTTTCATGTTGTTGGCTTGCGGCTGCCTTGTTGAAATCCAAGCAATGGGAATGTTTCTTTATTATTCCTCAGTTTAAAAGACCTCTTGATTGTGCGGCCATTTTAATCTTTCCATTTAGGTTTATCGTAATTTGCCTGAGATGGAAGAAATGTAGCACTTACATTCTTCCAATCTTAGCAACAGTGAAATAGCTAAATTTGGTATTTATATTGTTCTCAGTAGTCAGATCCGGGAAGGTTAAAATGATTTTAATCATAGGTGTGTATTTATTTTTTATTTATTTTGATTTGTCAATTGCTTACAAGATAATAGGTATAAGTATAAACATAGTTATGAATACATGAATACATATAAGAAAAATAAAAGAAACAATAGGACAGTAGGCATATTTATGCGCTTATGCAGAAACGTTCCCAAAGTAATGATGGATATATCACACTTACTTTTTTGACTGAACTGTAAAAGTTCAGATCTGTATTTTTATGATATAAAATCATGGAATCCCAGTTTACCTTTGGAAATACTCCCCACAAATTTACTACCCAAACATACATATTTTACACATGAGTATACATATAATAGATTCTGTGACTTAACATCCATTACACAAAAAATGTACAGAATCTTATATTATATTATATTATTATATTATAATCTACACAATAAAGCTTTGTAATTTTTTCCACAGGGACTTTAAAGTCCATAGAAGCCAGCTCTTTAGCAAAAGAGGTATTTATAATGAATCACCATAGTACAAAAATGTTATTTTATAGTATTACTCAGTGTAAAAATATGAACCTAACATTTGATTCCTTGCAAACCACATCAATCACACATCACATATGGTTTGTGATTATCTCCTTTAAAATTTGAGGTATCTTGAGTCTTGGTATTTACACTGAAACTCTGAGACGCACATTTAGGATTTGTTAGTGTTATTGGTAAATCCACCAGAAGATTCCTGACAAAGTATAACTTAGATACATACAAGCTTCTGATTAATTTTTAAAGATACAATTTCATGGATGTGATGGTTTTAGTTGGTGTCCTCCCTAAAAATGCATTTCATAGATCCAAGTCCACTCCTCTACTCGTTGTAGAATACCTTATGCCACCAGACTTGAAATTCTAGAACTAGAAAACCTTGAATTACGCCGTCTTCGGTCTGATTTAAGCATGGTATATAAAATCATACATTGCAATGTCCTACCTGTCAATGAATACTTCAGCTTCAACCATAACAACACAAGAGCACACAATAGATACAAACTCAAGGTTAACCGCACCAAACTTGATTGCAGGAAATACGACTTCAGCAACAGAGTGGTCAATGTCTAGAATACTCTTCCTGACTCTGTAGTTTCTTCCCCAAACCCCAAAAACTTTAACCTTAGACTGTCTACTATTGATCTCACCCCTTTCCTAAGAGGTCTCTAGGGGGCGTGCATAAGCGCACCAACATGCCTACCGTTCCTGTCCTATTGTTTTATTTTTCTTTTATTTTTCTTATATGTACCCATTTCATGTATTCATAAAAATTCATGACAACCTATATCATGGTAGCTATAAGAAGTGCATTTATAATTCTGTTTCAGCTTTAATTGTAGTCTGTGGGGATACAAAACCATGTAAAAAAGTAATCTTGAATTTTTTTTAAATCATTCCATTATATGGATTTGCTCTCTCATTCTTCACAAAGTTTTAAACAGATTTATCTATAATATGTTGCTACTAAGGGTGTTATAATCATAGTATTGTAGCTGAATTAAAGCTATTCTACTGTGGGGTTCAAAAATCTTTTTATTGCAGGTGTTTAGGAAATTGGTGAAGTTATCTTTATTGTTTTAATTTTTGAACCACTAGTTTTGAAATGTTTTTGTGGAAAGTTTTTCTCTTAAAGACAGTTTTAAAATAATTACCTATACACAGGGATTAAAATGGGGTGCGTATGTACAACAGTATATTAAAACAACCATAATATCTCATGGGTAGTTTGATTTTTAGATAAATATTACTTATAAAGGATTACTAGTTAAATATTTCATTAATTACTATTACTATTTCATTAATTACTATTAATAAGATTTATAATTGGAAAGTCATAACACTTTCAATTAATTTAAGATTCATAACTCTAGGGAGTTATTTTTTTCTCTTGTGTAGATAAGAGGAAAAGCATGAAGCACACTATCCTAATCCTAAAAAGTTCCATAAAAACATAAATACTCCCCCCTTTCCATTTTCTACCTGGAGCAGTAGGAATGTTTAAGGTGCTTGCAATTAGGAAAGGCAGACATATATCTTATGTATAAAAAGGTAGTAATTCTGGTTCCTGTCAATAGTTGGTTCTTAATTAAACAAATGAATATACCGTATATTGTGTGGCAAAAGAAGATTAATGTTTTATTTTATATTATGTATAGATAAGGTGTATAGAAAGATAAAATGACATTTATTTTAAATAAAAAATTCTAACTAATAAGAAACTGGTGTAACTTTGAGATAAGAAAATATTAACAGAATATGAAAAGCAGAGGCTAAGAAAAATATGTTTATGTTTACAGAGTAAACATGTCTATAGATCTGAAATTAGTCAAAGTCAAATACTTCTTAGTCAAACTATCTATGAGCATATTGTTCCACAGCACATCTGACTTATCCAAATACAAGATCGAAACATCGAGGATTATGGTTCTCATAAACCTCTGCCTAACTACATAATTTCTATTTGTTGGATAAACATTCCAACAAATTAAC